GTGGAGTGGGCAGATCAAAAGACAACCTGGCAAAATGGCACGACCTAGAAGAATCCTCTACCTTGTGCGACTGTGGAGCGGAACAGAAAACTCTGCATCTGTATGCTTGTCTGTAATGTCCTGCCTCATGCACAGAGGAAGAATTGCTTGAGGGTACAGACAATGCAGTCGCTGTTGCCCGTTTTTGGTCAAAAGATATTTAGTCGCTTGTGCCCTTTCTATTTTTATCAGCTTATACTAATTTGTGCAATGCTTTTGATACGAAATAAAGTATTTCAATCCAATCTACAATTTCCTTACAATGCACTTTCTCCTGTCGTTAATGAAGACCAAACCCCACTGCTCCTCCTTCTTGGGCTTCTTCCTTACAAATACACTTTCTCTATTTCCTATCTCACCCAGGGTTTTTAACGTTTTAACATTTTATCTTGCACATTTGGCCCGCCCTTTATGTTTGATTTTTATTATGTTATTTTGCACTGTTTATTTTATTTTGTTACATTATGCATTTGTTGTGTTTAATTTTCTGTTGTTTTGTATCTTATTTTGCTGTATTATTTTTGAGCTTGGCCTCGTGTTAGTTGTCCCGAGTCATAGAATCATAGAATCAAAGAGTTGGAAGAGACCTCATGGGCCATCCAGTCCAACCCCATTCTGCCAAGAAGCAGGAATATTGCATTCAAATCACCCCTGACAGATGGCCATCCAGCCTCTGTTTAAAAGCTTCCAAAGAAGGAGCCTCCACTACACTCCAGGGCAGAGAGTTCCACCGCTGAACAGCTCTCACAGTCAGGAAGTTCTTCCTCATTTTCAGATGGAATCTCCTTTCTTGTAGTTTGAAGCCATTGTTCCACATCCTAGTCTCCAGGGCAGCAGAAAAAAAGCTTGCTCCCTCCTCAAGGAAGCAGAAAACAAGTTTGCTCCCTCCTCCTGTGGCTTCGTCTCACATATTTATACATGGCTATCATATCTCCTCTCAGCCTTCTCTTCTTCCTTTGGGGAGATGTGTGGGCGTGTTGGTATAAATAAAGTCATTTAGGTTGAGAACCACTGTTTTAGATGATAGAATAGAAGGCATGTGTGAAGGAGGTCCGTTATTAAACTGCTGCCACCAACTGTGACGATGACCGTTTTAATGCCACCGAATACCACCAATTGTGAAGGTGCACGTGGTAAAGCACCCACTGCCACCTTATCTATGAGGGAAGCCGGGCAACGATCAATATCAGCCTAGGAACTATTTTATAAAGGGACTGTTTCTGGCTGACTTTATTATTGCAGGCTGTTCAACTTAGAAGAAACTGTATCAGGCAAGGCTTGAGGAAAAAGTAACAAGTTTATTTTAACAGGAGTATAACAATGTATAACTGTTCTTCAAAAGAGGCACAAATCTTGATGGTTACATTGGAAAGGTTTCATGAGTAAACTCAGGCAAACACTTCATAAGGTTTCACAGCTGGCACAACAGGCTTAAACCCAGCCAAACCTTGATTCTTAATTTAGAATCAACAACCCCCTGTACCGGGTCCTTCTCTGCAACCACTTTGGTCACCAATTGATTCACTGAATCTCTAAGAGATTCAGTTTTTCCCTATAGCACACTGGCTACAGACACATTCCCTGAATCTCCACCAAAAGATTCAGTGTTTTCTCAGTAGCTCTCCGGCCACTGACTGGATTTTTAAAACACAGCTGCCTCTGAAGAGGCGGTTGGCTCCGCCCCTGTTGCTATGGCAACTTAGCTAACATCAAGCCACTCCCACAAAACATAACCTCCCATACTTACCATCCCTAAACCATTGTCCAAACTACACATAACCAAAGGAATAAAATTTACACATCGTCACACCATGAGTATTAACAACAATTCAGTTAAAAAACATTAAAAACATATTCAAAACTAAAAACCACAGCAGAAACTAAGCAGACAGGCCCAAACTCAAAACTAAAGAAGGATCACGGCTCTTTGTACTCAATTGGGCTTTAAATCCTTTCGCGCTTTAAGCCTCGAATGACTCAGATTACACAAGAAGAAACCTGATTCAGCATAAGGCAGAATTTGGAGAGTGTGGAAATTCTTTACCAAAACAAACCACCATTCCCCACTCCTTACCTCCATTTGACAGGCACAGACTGTTGATGAGAACACGTCCTGTTTTGTTGTGTTCATACCTGAGAATGGACAACAGCGTAAGGCAAAGATGAAACAACCACAAGAAGAATAGACCTGACTACAGCAATTTAAGACAAAGTCCCTACCTACAAGACACTTCCATTACAATCCATACATGACTGCTTGAGTATCATTTCATTACACTACACAACAAAATCTGAAAGTGTTATTTCCTGTTTGATTGTACAGTACTTTACTTTGAAAGTATACTCCAGAAACTTTGTGTGATTGTCACGAACTATGTTGAATTGAATGTATTGTCGAAGGCTTTCATGGCCGGAATCACTCAGTTCTTGTGGGTTTTTTTCGGGCTATATGGCCATGTTC